TATGAGAGTATAGATGAGAGTGCAGACGAAAATGAAGATAATAATTTGGATGTTATATATATTGATAGTGATTGTGATGATAATGATAGCATTGATGACAATAATAGCATTAATAGTGATTAAGGCGATAGCATTTAAAATTATTGAAATAAACATCTTTTACAACAAGTTATATAATATATATATGAGTGCCGAAATAACAATAAATAATAATCAGATTTTAATTAAATAAATTATGGGAATGCTTATTTTCGGGTATTAATAAATCTTGGTGGTGCTTATTTTCAGAGAGTGTTTATTTCAGAGGAATACAGTAGATGTTTTTATTCTAAACTATACTTCATAATAATAAATTAACCAACTATTAATTGTTATTGAAATCTTTGGTTATACTGCAGAATTAAAATAAACATTTTTATAATTTGAATGTAAAAGAAAAGAAAGTATAAAATAGGTTGTTCCAATTATTTTCAATGCTTTTCTAATCTTGCTAATTTGTTTTGTTCAAAATTAATATCTGAATGAAATTTATATATTTTAATAAAAAATGCAAAACAATGTAAAACTTCAAATAATTTTACTCTATTACATTGTAGCTTATTTAATGCATCATAATAGTCTCATTAACCTATATAAAAGAGTTAAATTATTTTTTAAACTTAATAAAAAATTCCAAAATTTATTGTCTTTAATTATTAAACAAATTTTGGAATTTATTGATAATTCATTTTAAGAAAGATTACCATATTTTGTTACTAAAGTCTAATAAATTATATTTAATTAAATTAAAATTATAAATTAATAATATATAAATTAAAAATTAAATAAATCTGTAATGCAATTTGACTATTTAAAATACTTGAAAAGTATAAATAATAATTATTTTATCTTGTTTTACAAGATCTTTGTAAAGTCATAATTTTTTTATAAATTTCTATTTATTCTATACAAAGTTTTCCAGTATAATAAGTTGAAAAATTAAAAAATGAAATAATTTCAATAGTTTTAACAGATATTTCATGAAAATAAGGTGATTCTTTAAAAATATCTGCTACAATAAGATTTGTTTGATATGCAAATAAGGCATAAAAATAATATTACAATATTTATTATGTAATATTTTTCTAAATATTAAAATAATTAAAATCAATATTTCTTATTATAAATAAAATTTAATAATTTATTTTATCTTTTTGCTATATATTTTTCTGCTGAATCTGAATTATTTTTAAGTTATTATTTCTATTATTTTCTAACTATTTTTTTTATTAAATCAACTATATTTTGAGTATAAAAAAGTTCACTAGATATGTCTTGAACATCTCAAATAAGATATTTTCTAGTAGATGTTATTACTACAGTTTCAATAAGTGATTGACTGACTATGTTTTTCCATCTATCAAATGTAACAATTAATCTAATGTTTTCTTTCTATACAACTTTTAAAATTTGTTCTTGTATGAATTTTAAAGTATTATTTAAAATTTTGCTTGCTAAAGATTTTCTTGATGATAATTTCAAACCAGAATTTGCAAATTCTATTAACTCTTATGTTGCTTTATTTTCAACCTAACGAAAAGATTAAATATTTGAAATAGTTGGTTTTAATACTAATCTTTTCAAGTATTCTGCATTTTCTTCAGATAAATGATATAGCATGTAATATTTTATTAAACTTTGTAAAGGTTCAAAAATAGCAAAAGTTGGATAAAATCCTGTTCTAGAATTTTCATATAATTTATTTAATTTTGTATTTGAAATTGACATCTCATCATCAAGATTTATAATATTTATTTATAAATATTTATAAATATTTATAAATAAATTATAAATTAGATAAAAATTGAAAAAATAATGTATTTTATTATACTCTTTTATCTTATTTACATTTGCTGAAACCATGATTCATGACTGCGATGATCATCTAATTTAGTTGACAAATATGGCAGATTGGTCATATTTGACTGATGATCCATATTTATTATATTTATTATATTTGTTAACTTTATTATATTTGATAGATTTATTATATTTATTATATTAGATATATTTATTATATTATATTACTATTAGTTTATTTTATATAAATAGCCTGTATTTTCCTTGAGTTAAAAGATAACTCGAGATAGGGTTTTGTGAATAAACCAAGAATTCAATGAAGATATTTGTTATTTATTTACTATTACCATTTGCTGTGTCTTCATACAGGCGTGATTGTGATAAAGTCATTATAAGTAATTCGAAGGACTGAATTAAATCATCTAAATTTTAATTTCAGCTTTCCGGCTAACATTGCCTAAAGGTTTTTTGTTTTTCTTCTTTTTCTTATACAATTTTAGCCAAAATTACATTTTACGTTTCATCATTATATAATGCTTTAAAATTAGAATAATTTTTTAAATGATTATGACAAATTGATCTTTTATTTGTAAGATTTTCTATGTTAGTAAATGAATCTTTAGTATTAGAATATGCTTTACAAATAACTATTTTATTACTTTTAATTTTTTTTTTATCTAAAATATCAAATCTGTTATTTATTGGTGTAATGATTTACTACTATGAGCTTTTTTTGACATATTTAATTTAAAATTTTTTAAATTTAATTTTAAAAATCTGATTTATATAATAAATTCAAATACTTGTAATAAAATTTATAAATAAAAACAAATAAAATAATTTTTATTGATTTGTTTTATTAATTTTAATTTTATATAAATATTTAATTATTAATCTTTTCATAATATAATGAATAATGTACCAAAAATTTGGCAGTGACTTTTAGGGATAGAAATTATAAGCAATATTTGTAATTATTTTAATAATATGCGGTAGAGTATGGCAAAGTTTATTATATAACTTATAATATTTTGTGAAAGAGTTTTTTCTTTTGTCATTTTGCAAAAAAAAGTAAGAAACAAACACCTTTAATGCTTAAAGCATTGATTTATGATAAATCATTCAAATAAATAAACACTTCCAATATATGAGATACTCATTTATGCAAAAAAAACAAATATTTTGCAAAAAATAACTGTTTCTGATGTTTGAGGTATTCATTTATTAGCAAAAATTTAATTTGCAAATAAATAAATATCTTTGCAAAAAAAAATGGTTTGCAAAATAATAAATGCATCTGTTTATTTTTACAAAAAAAAATAAAAACCTATGATATCAGGGCATTCATTTATTGGTAAAAGTTTGATTTTACAAATAAATGAGCATATCAATGAGGTTGTGGTGGGTGTCTAATTTTTGTAAAAAGAAATTTTGCAAAAAAATAAATACCTCTGAAGTTCAGGATTTTTAAAAGGCTATTTGATGCTCTTATTGAAAGCTTTTTTTTGTAAAAAAATGATGTCTCTGATGCTAGAAGCATTTATTATATGCAAAATATTTTGTTTTTTGCAAAAATTGATAATCTCCGATGCTTGAGGTAATTTTTTCACAAAAATGACGCTTTCAATGCTTGAAAAATTCATTTATTGCAAATATATATATATATATTTGCAAAAATGAACAATACACTTTGGTGTTATTCATTATATGCAAAATATTTTTTTGTTAAAATGACGCCTCCAACGCTTGAGGCATTCATTTGTTGCAAAAGAAAAATTATTTTTTTGCAAAAATAAACAATCCACTTCAGTGTTGTTCATTATATGCAAAATATTTTAACTTTTTTGCAAAAATGATACTTCCGATGCTTAAGGCATTCATTTATTGCAAAATATATATATATATATTTGCAAAAATGAACAATCCACTTCGGTGTTGTTCATTATATGCAAAATATTAAAGTTTTTTGCAAAAAAAATAGCGCCTCTTATGCTTGAGACATTCATTTATTGCAAAAAAGTAATTATTTTTTTTTGCAATAATCAAATAAACCACAGCCATTGATTTTGTAATTTTTTTTGCAAAATTAAATTATATTACATGTTGGCCAATAGATCTATTCATGCATACTGCGCCATTTGGAAGGATCCGATCCATTCAAATCGCGTCTCTGAATCATAATTTAAAACGCGTAAATTACTCATAATTCATAACTTCAATTTTCACCATGGCAAAAAATACACAGTTATTTCAATCAAAAATATTCTACAGAGAGACATCTCTAAATGCCCCATAGTGAAAATTTAAAAAAAGTGCATTTAAAGAGGGTATGCATTTAAAGATATACTTGGGGCTGCGTGGAGTGTGAACTATAGTAAAAATATATAACATTTAGGGAGGATGCATTTTGAGAGGTCTCACTATAGTAGGTTTTTTAGATGAATATGAAAAGAAGTAAGTAGATGAATACATCAAAAGTCTCGATACAATTATTAAGCATAAGCGACAAGGAAAAGCGGGAATTCTTCTTAACAAATACAGAGAGGTTAGTATTATTATCTTATTAGGAATATGTGAATGGTAATGTGATGAAAATATCTCCTTGCTCGAAAGATCAGTGTTGAAGCCCAGAAATCCTCTTTGGTTTCTTGATGTTCAGACTAACCTGGTCCCATTAAGACACAGTCGTCCTCTTAGGATTTTGATGTTCAAGGCTTTTTGCCGACTTAATGGAATGAAAAATCTGAAAAAAAAAAATAAAATAAAAAAATCGTAATTGTTGCTTTTTTAAAAAATCTTTATTTGTAGCGATCTCAACCAGATCGCCAATGGGCAAGAAAATGGAATACCGATTGTTCAAAAAGTTACACTTTCACCAATCAATACTTTTAGATAATGTTGTTAATGGGAACATAAATAATGGTGGAAGCGGAACTTTTATTCTTAATGTATGAATTAGACCAAACAATTAGTATTTTCTGTATTTATAATCTTGAATAGAGAACCAGTAGAAGTAGACGATGAAAATTTCCGATCCTTATTCAAACGTTAATATTCCTCCACAACGTGTCATGACTTATGCAATGCACAGGCTCAATAACAACAAACTTCCGAACATTCAGATGTTTCAGATTCGACGTAATTATATACGTTAATGAAAAAATGTTTTCCTAGGCGAATTCACAGGCAAAAACTGATGATTATAAAAGAAGTGACTCGAATATACCAGACCATGAATCACTTGAGGTCAATTATATCTGGGAGGGTATATGCTTATTATGCTCACAATTATCTGACCTTGAAGGAGAAGATCGATGATCAAGAAAAGATGAAGGGGACGATCAATGATGGAGATAAAAATGATCAGATTACAAACCCATCGTTGGAGAGGCAGTAAAATGATACGTTGAAACAATTCCAGCATCACAAATGTTTAAAGTAAGTTTTATTGAATTGTCAGAGGTCATGAATTGTAGTGTGATTATGTTTAACACGGGATTTTTCACTCATAATCTTGCGTATTGGATATTGATGATCATAATCCCAACGTTATAATCAAACCATCAACAGATCAATACAAGCATAATAATTCGGTGATCAACATTTTGTCCTCGGTAAAAATCTATTAGACTCAGTTCTTCGCCACCGATGTCATATCAATGTTGAATCGATAACATTCTTGACCTGACTGAAGATACCTTAATAAAATCGTTTTTTTCAACAAAAGACTTGGAAGAAATGACAGAACATTTTGAAAAGGACGTCATGAAATCGAAAGAAATATAGAAGAAAATCAACACGCCAAGCTTTCAAGCGAGGACAAGGAGATTGTTGCTACCATCAGACGCGCTGTAATTGCATAGTAAGTTAATCAATGTTGGATTACTTATAACCTTTTTGTTTATTCATTTCTTCTAATTTTATTATACAGCCGAAAACTTGAGAGGAATGGAAAGGAAGCTGAACTTGACAATGCTTTTCATGTTAACAAAGAAATTCTTAGAAAAATAGGATCTCAAGATGAACGTGTATGCAGTGTTGTCATGGGACATTGTTGGGACATATCTGGGACATTGGAATTTAATTTTGGACATAATGTGGGACATAGAAAATGTACATCACTGCGTGTAGGTATAGATAAGAAAACGTCAGTTTGATCTTCATTATGTTAATCTTTCTTTCGACTTTTGTGGTGGAGAAATTGCCTGCTGGGCTTCTTCCCGGCGCAGAAATGAAGGACGCTCGATAATCCTCCGTGCACGCATAGGTCAAAATGCAACTTTTGAGATACATTGAACAAAGTGTTAATGGCCTCGATGGACTTAGGAGTGTTGGTCCTCCGGTCGTTCATCGCAAAAAATTGTTGATGATCGGAAGTTGTCAACTTGAATTTTGATAACGGTTGCAGTTTCAATTTATCCACACTATTTATTCGTAAATGTTATCATGACCTATATAAAATGATTACTGATAATAACAATGTTCATCGTTGGCAACCGTGAATTGGGAAACTTTCTTCTGCTTTATCACCTTGCAAAAGAATGTAAAACAGTTATATATCACAAACTCAAAAAGTCTCCGATTCTCTTCAGAAATTTGGTACATCGTAGATGTTAGGGATTATGTCGCCAAAACAATCCTTATCTGTTCGCAGGAAAGAATATTCTTTTTGAATTACTTTCTATCCTCATAAGAATCACTGGTCATTTTGATGAGCTACAAGCCAGAATGGTCCTGGGCAGAGATTGATAAATGCAGGAATGCGATGTTCACTAATATTCGTCAAGAATATATTCGAGAATTGTACTATAAATTAGGTGGGATTCCTCGATATACTTTATTTTATGCCCACAACGACGGTCAGAAATGTCTAATTTTATGAAGTTTCAATTATTATGTTTTTTTTTGAAATTACCCTTTTAATGAAAATATTGTATTACGTTTTTTGTGTTACATTTTTCTGTTACAATTTTTATTTTTTTGTTACATTATTATATTTAATAAACTGTTATAAACGCTTCGGACGCTCTAACGATTCCCGTTTCCTAGTTTACTAAAAATTTATTATTAATATATTCAGCTATTTTTTTAAAAAAATATTATTTATTTGTATTAATTGGTATTAATAATTATTTATATATAAGTGATCTAAAAATTTTATATACCTTTTATCTTTAAAATTAGAGGTTACTTGACTGGTTAATTAACGGTGAAAAATTAATTGGTTTCAACCTCTACTTAAAATTACTATTATTAAAACAAATAATTAAAGTATTATTTTGAATATATGAAATTTTTTATTTTTATTAATAATATCAGTTAATTCACTATACAACGTATGGCCATCCTTTCTCTTAACAGATATATTTTAAAACCATATTTATATTTTAATATTTTAATTCAATCTTTTAAAAAAAAAAAGATGTACGTGTTTTATTTCATAGCAAATCGCAAAAAAATAAAATTTTTCATCAATCTGATCAAATTTGGTGATATGTGAATTTCTGGTAACAAAATCAGCCCACATGGAAAAAAAAAAAAAGAAATATATTAAGGTTCAATTTTGATTTTGTCGTCGGATCTATTTATTATAATCTTTTTTTATTTTTTTCGAAAATCCTCCATTTTCTCAAATGGCAATAAATTATAAAAAATTAAATGAAATAAAAAATGTGATAACTAGGCATTTAACCCATCATAAATCATTTAAATCGGTTGAATTAGTAAGAGATAATCCACCAAGATGGTTTTGTAAAAATAAGAAATTAGTTTATGAATTAGCTACTCCCAAAAAAGCTGATTCATTTCATGGTAAATTAGAATATACGAGGTGGGAAGAATTTCCTTTACCAAATTCCTTTAAAAATGAGGAAGAATGTGAACTTAATAAATTGGAAATTGAAGTTAGAAATGATATATTTGATTATTCACCACCCGAAGATGATAATACGGTAGTTTGGTATGTGAATTTTGCGGACAGTGATGTTTTCGGATATTATGGAACGAATTTATTTGCTCAAGATGAGAGTCAATGTTTAGAACATCCCGCATTATGTTCACTTCGAGTTTGCCTTGCAAAGAATAAAGATCAACAATCGCATTTTACAACCTCACATCCAAATCTTACCAAAAAATCTTCCAGTGATTTTTTATCCATAGCAACCCCAATATTAGTTAGGGGAGTAGAAAGAAAAGCGAAAATAATGACAAATGCTGACGCAAGAAATGAACGTCCATATGGATTATATGGACATCAATTTTCACAAGCCTCACCCAATGCAATTAAATTAGCTACCACAATATTTGATGAAAGGATTGATCAAAGGACGGGACGTCCTTATTATTCTAATATTATCGCAATCGAAGCTCAAAAATATGGACGAGGTAGTTATACCATTGAGAATATTAAAAAAATCTTGGTTGCTGCTTATTCGGGTTTTCTTGCTGCTAAATTTGAAAGTTTGGTTGAGAAAGGAATTCTTGAAAGATTTCATGAAGAAAATCAAGGAGGGCATACTAAAATTAATCTTAAAAATGATGAAAGTACACAAAAACCTAAAGTGATTATTCACACTGGAAATTGGGGATGTGGCGCTTACGGTGGTAACGTTTCAATCATGTCTTGTTTACAAATCGCGGCAGCTCATCTAGCAGGAATCGATAAAATTATTTATCATACCGTGGGTAGAAAGGAGGGTTTTGATATTGGTTTACGAGTTTATAAAGAGTTCATTGATAATGTAAAAGATATAAATGTGGTCAATTTTATTGAAAATGTTGAGAAGGAAAAACTTCAATGGGGTTTCAGTAATGGAACCTAACTTTTAGTGAAAATCATTATAGACGTCTTTTAAATTATCTAAATTATAATATATACATATCTTAATAAATTATTTATTACCATTATTTAATTTAAAGTTAGGCTAAATCAAAAAGAACGAATTCAGCAGTTCTATTACCAACGGATTCAAAAATGATTTCTTCACCACTAACAACTTCGGTAATAAAAGCACCATCTCCATGTTTCAATAAACTCTTTCCATTAATTAAAACTTTCATCCCCTCCTTTCCGATAACATGAATATATAATTTCCTTTTATTATCTCTATCATTAGCATTTCCTTGAACTTTATGTGTAACCTTTACTCCCTGATCTAATAAGCTGGCATACATATGAAAATCGGTGTGAATTCCAATTGTATCCGGAACTTGTTTTTTATCAGGAGAAATAATCTGGACCAAATTATTTTCTTTAGCGGAGTCGGAAAACATTTTTGTATGATATGCTGGGGAGAGTTTTGGATTATCGGGTTTTACCCAGATTTGTAAGAAATAAACTGGAAGTGTTTTATGAACATTATATTCCGAATGGGAAATCCCTGTACCGGCTGTTGTAAATTGAACGTCACCGCGTTTAAGAATCTCCAAATTCCCCATTGCTAATTGAATCAAAAGGTAAAAATTAATACATCTTTAAATGTGATTAAAATATAAAAATATTTCGGAATGAAAAAGATACTTACAATCTTTGTGTTCTAATTCACCAGAAATGATGTATGAAAAAATTTCAAATTCACGATGAGAATGGGTTCCAAAACCCTTTTGAGGTTGTACAATATCTTCATTGATCACACGTAACGCTCCAAATTCTTCATAATTTGGATCATAATAATTTGCAAATGAAAATGTGTGATGAGTATCCAACCATCCATGATTTGCACATCCACGTTCCTCCGAAGGTCGAACAACAATTTTGCTGGGCATCTTGTCTAAAATAAATGATTTCTTTGTAAAGTTAAATAAATATAATTTTTTTTTAATGATTTTATCAGAGTATTTATACTTTAATTCGAGCGATATATTAGTAAAAATATTACAAATTATTAACCGCTGGAATAATTCCATCAAAAATTATTAATCGTATTACCAATCTTTATCACATGATATCCTATTATTAAGCATGAATCCCAAATTTACTGTGATACACATAAACTTAAACTTCCAAAAAACAAGTCTAAAAAATGAACTAAGGATATTATCCAATAAAAATCGAAATGAATCAATCAAATTTTTTTTTTTCCAGTTTCATTCAGAAACTAAACTCGAAAAAAAAAATCTTTGTTAAATTTGGAGAGAAAAAAAAAGAAATAAATATGATTTTCTCACGGTAAATTCTGCAATTACAAATTGAAACATTTGAATGCTAGAGACATTGGTTTATTTCCGTTTGTACAATGTGCCATGCATTTATGTACCTTTCAAGGAAATTAATAAAAAAAAAAAAAAAAAGAAAAATCAAAAATCAAAAATCAAAAAAACAAAATTAAAGTCAAATTAATGCTATAATCAATAATCAAAATGATTACCCATCAAATTTATGGTTTTATTAAAAAAAAAAAAACTTTAATTTTTTTTTACGCCGTAACAAAAGATGACTTTTAAATGATGATAAGAGGCAATATTTTTTTTGATCTTCACAACAAAATATCCACAGGTACAAACAAAAGGTCATATACTCCGCAACAAAGAAATTATTGGCTGTTGATTCAATTTTACTTTGTTCCGGCTCCTATTTGGGAACATTTATTAATTGATATCCAATGATTCACGCGTAATATTTATAGTTTTGACATCTCCTTGATTTTTATTCCAAATCAAGTTTAATTCAATTTTATGACTGTGTAAAAACCCCCGTTCCGAAAAAAAGTTCTTTAAGAAATTATTTAAATAAACGGTACTTTGTTGTACTCGTAAAAGTTTAAAAAAAAAAATTATTCTCACGGACAAAAAACTTTAATAGTTCCAAATACCATTTTTTCTATTTTAACGTAATATTCAACATCAGAAATTCATAATGGGTAGTTGTATTTCTTCCTCTTCACAAAAACAAACAAACCAGAATGTTGGTGTTAGTTCTGCAACATACTCTCAAACAACAAATAAAACTGTTAATAACCGTTTTCACGAAAATACTAATGTAGTCAGTTCTCCCAAGGATAATGCTAGAAAAGCAAAAGTTGTTAAAAGACCAAAGAAAATTCATAAAGGTCTCATTGGTCTTCCTTCCAACTTTCAACATACTGGTCATATCGGTATCGCCGAACTGCGTAGCGGTAAAGTTGATGTAGGTATCATAAGTTGCGATTATGTAAATTATTATTGAATGATGTCGTTTATTTATTTATTTATTTTAATTAATTGTAGCCTGAAAAAATTAAAAGTCAAATGGCTGAAGTTGCAGCCGCTCTTAGTTTAGAAGGTTTGAATATGGGATCGTCAATTCCAACACCAGCTACTAATAACAATAAACAAAGAATTTCCTTATTGACATCTATATCAACACCTTCTGAACAACAAAATGTTACCAATAATAATTCTAAAAATGTTAATAGTAGTAACAGTCCAACTTTTTCTCAAAACGATCCCCAAAACGATCCACAATTTAAAGTTAAGGTAAACCTAAATTTTAATGATAGTATAAAAAAGGAAATATGATTATCATATAATTTATTTATTTGTTTTTCTTTCGCAGAGAAAACCCACTTTAACTTCGATTTCTTCACCGGTGCCTCGGCCATCATCGCCTCCATTAAGTCCTATAGTCGATCCAATGGCTGAAATTGTAGCTGCATTGAAAATGCCAATTGATGGAAATTTTGATAAACAAAATGATCAAAAATTGGTTGTTTAATTCCGTTGTAAATCTAAATTAATCAAATGTATCTCTTAATTAATTGTGGTATGTTGGATTTTTCTAATTAAATAATCATCTAAATTAAATATGCTAATTTGATTTTAAATCTTAACAAATAGATTTGCCAAATTCCCCTAATTTATTCCTTTATCAGTTTTTATTAGTGTTAGATGAATAGGATATATTCGAAGAGAAAATGATAATTTTTAATTACGTGAACGAATAGAGTTTATTATTATTATTATTATTATTATTATTATAGTTTTTCCTTGGTATGAGGATGGGAATTCAGGTTATCTTGGCGTCACCGATAATAGAGTGTATTTCTATCTTTTAGCCCTTCATTTTTTATCTTCTTTAACAAAATCCTTATTCCGAGAAGAAGCGTTTTTTTTTCTTACCCTAGTGTACTTGCGTACAACCATTGAAAAAAAAAATGTAAATTATGTTTTCACTCGGTTCTTATTAATCATGCTTCTTTTAACGAAAAGGATTTAAAGACTATCCATATTTTCTTCATTGTATTGAGAGATCAGGAAATTTTGATTAGCTGGTTTTAGGCGTTATGTAGCTTATCTAGGTGTAGTTCGATGTTTAGTTTTAATAGATTTGAGGCCCAAATGTTTTAGGATTAGTAATCTATCAGTTTAAAAGATTTTATCTTTTTTGAAAAAAGAAAAATCGAATTTTTAAAAGGTTATTTATTAAAAAATAATTTTAATACTCGAACCAACTTTGATGCATTATATAAAATTAATTAATCCTGATTCAAAAATAGAGTCGATGTTAATGCTCCGGACTTAACAACGGTTTCCGAAACCGTTCCCTAGTATCTATACAATCAAGTAGGAAATTAATGTTTTTATTTAAAAAGAATATTATTTTTTAACAAGAAATTGCTAATATTAAAATCTTCAAATTTAACTTTTTCATAAATTTTTTTAATAATAAAGTATAATAAGAAAAATTTTTAAATATACTTATAAATATTTTACAAATAAGTCAATTTCTCAACTTATTATTTTTTTTAAAATTAGAATATACTTAATTTCAGTTAATATAATAAACCTATATAAATGACAGATTATTTTATATTTAACATTACTTTTTTTTTAATATTTCTACTAATTATTATATTAAAATCAATTTATTTTGAATAGGTTTGATATTATAAATAAATAAATAAATTATAATAATAATATTATTATTTTTAATAATTATAATAAAATTAATAATTTATGGATTATAATTAATTGAATAAAAAGATAAGAAAAAATTTAATAATAATAAAATCATTAAATCTTTATAAGAATTACAACTAGATATGCTAAAATAATTGATTACAAATACAAAAATATATATATAAGCTAAAAATCATATAAATTAAAAATGCGAATTGTAACTTTTATTATGCAATAGAAAAGGGATAAAACTGCTAGGAAAAATCAATTTTACTTTTAAATGCCAAAAATGACTTTTAGGCTAAAATTTAATATTAACACATTTTTTATTTTTAGTATAATTTTTTTCTATTGCAAAGATCAATTGCTATACTATTTTTAATATACAAAAATATTATATAATTAATATTACATAATAAAATATTATATTTGCAAAAGCAATTTTGAATTTTATGAAAATATGTTTTTATACTTAAAGTTGTTAAATTTAATGCAAATAATGATAAACTTATAACTAATAATATTTATAATAGCAATAATAATATAATAATAAAATTTATATTAAAAATCTTTAAATTTGTTAATAAAAAAATTAATTTGCAGCTTTAAGTAATAAGTAAATATCTTCATCTAATTTAAATTTAAGGATTCATGATATATATAAGTATTTTTTTGCTTAAAATTTGAACTAAAGATAATATTATAATTAAGTTGCAATTAAGGTTATTAGATAAAATTTAAGGTTTAACTAGAAATCTAAATGGTAAATATTAAAATTTTATTAAAAAATCTACAAAATTCAAGAAAAGATAAAATTATATTAAAATCATTAATAAAATTAAAGGATTAGATTAGTTAAATCCAAAATAAATTTAGATAAGCAATCTTAATTGCAATTTAATAAATTAAATTTAAGTTACAATTAGTTGCAAATTCTTATAAAAGTTTTTTAATATAAAAAATTATGATTAATTAAAACTCAAATAAATTAAAACTCAAGTAGTTGTAATTGAATTGTAGTTAATTATAAATTTTAAAATATTATAATATGTTTTAATTAAAAAAAAAGTTTATAATAAGCATAATTAAAGATAAATAGATTAAAATAAATTAATTAACTTTAAATAAGTAAAAGATTATTATTAAATAAATAGTATATATTTTTTATTAACTATTGATTTATTATAGTTATATATATAAATATTCAGATTTCTTTTTTTATTTTTTACTAATATATTTCCAATTAATTTTAATTTTTTAAAAAAATAAATTATATAATAGATTTAGTAAAGATATAAAAAATAAAAATTTACTACTAATTATTTTTTTAATATAATATTATTAATTATAATTAGCTAGTCTTATTTTTATATAATTAAATTATGGGATTTTAAATATAAAAAAAAAAATATTATCATTAAATAAAAAATAATTTATTTTAAAATATATTAAATTATTATTAATCATATATAAAGGATTATTTTTTGTAAAGTATTAATAAATTTTTTTTTTTTTATAAATACAATTTTAAAATAATTAAAAATATTAAAACTTTGTATGTAGATTACATATTTTTCAGTTATTTAAGATGTTAAAAAATTAGAGATGTAATCTTATTATACATTTTTTTCTATCAATATAATTGTTTTCATGTTTTTTATAAAATTCTAAAATTTTCTTTTAATCATCAGATTATTATTCAGATCATATTATGGTTGAAAAATTTGACAATTGTTTTTGAAAAATAAGTTTATTATACCTTTAAAATAACGAATATAAAATAATTATATTTTCTAATATCTTTTAATTTACCTAATTTCGACCTATAATTTCGGTTTATTAATAAAGTATTTGCACTACATGTATTTTTAACAAAATCCCGCCCATTTAATTATCTTTAGAAAGTAGAATAGAATATTAATTAAATGCCCATACCTTTTAATTTCGAATTGAAGTTTTAAAGGCTTTATAGAAATTCTCTAAAATAATAATTTAGTGTCCAAAACAATCACATCACAATAAAAAATTTATATGCTAATTAAAATTGCACAGCAAAATAATTGAACATATATAATGCCATCATGAGAAAATCCAAGAAAAATACTAACTAATTTACACAATATAAAATATACATGAGAACAAATATACAAATATAAAAATAGTGATTAAAGAAAATTAATTAAAGAAATGTATTATAATCAGCATATTTTCCGAACGGACTACCTGACATCTCAAATAAGATTAAAAATCTAGGTAAAGTTGCCTAAATAACATAAGAACATAACTTAGTTTTTATAAAATTATCGTAAAAATTTTTTCCAGACTACACTTACGCTGTCTTTATTTACAATCAGAATTCCTTTTGGAGTTTTTTCTATGACATCAACTATGAACATAGACTTTATTATATCATCATCATTATATCCATTATTACAATAGTAAAGTGACGTACATGGATCATTCGCAAACCACATTCCTACGTGTTGAAATTAATTGTTAAAAATGCAAATTTCTCGTTCCAAAAAAAAAAATACAGGTACATACTTTTTCTCTTGAATAAACTTTTAGTTCTGGTATATTTAGTTTTATTTCCATGTTGTATAATTCCACACAAACCACAATAGTTTTCACAAAATGTTCTTTCAATATGACCACCTTTGCCATTTTCTTTATAATTATTCCATTGGCCAATAAATGAACAATCCATATTTGAAGTCGTACCATGAAACATTCCATGAGTAACCTTTTCGATATTTTCTCCAGTTTGTTTACTTAGTTTTCTTTTATAAGCTTCATGCAGTTGTTCAAGTTTTGTTGGCATATGTAATTCAAATATTCCAAGAACTTTTGATGATGAAAGTTGTCGACCTTTAAATGATGATTTTACCTTAATGTAATTTGGATCTGTTGGATTTAATAATAACATTTGTGTTTTATGAATCTTAGGTTGTATTATTGGAGGAGAATTTGATGATAAATTGCGACTGATTAAATGTTTTAAACGAAATGAAAATGATTTATTTGAGATAGAAGTTGAGGATGAAGGTGAAGTTAAATGGTTTTGGATGATTAAAGTTTCGCTTGTTTCACAATGCTTAACCATTATTAGAAGAAGAATTCTTGACTATTTGTTGTTTAAAAAAAAGAAACGAAAGGAGAAACAACCTGAAAATTCTTATTTTCTTCTATAAGTACTCCTGAAAATCTTTACTAATTCTGAACTTGCCCGTCGGTTTTTTTTTAAGAATGTATTACAAATTAATTACTTTTACTAAAAACGTAGCGTTATAATTTTAGATTTCCACAATAGAAAATATTGGTAGAATCCGTTATACCAAATTGAGTAGAAAAGCACCTTACAAAATTCAATGGATTTCTAGAACTTTTAAGAATATTATAAAAATAGATATCTTTTTTTGGATGATTCTTTTAAAAATAAATAATAGTATTATTATTTGTTTAATTATTTTTTTTATAAAAAAAAGTTTATTAAGTATAAATGAACTGTTAGTAAATAAGAAAAACATTATATGGGTTAGTAAGTACAACAATCAGGTTTTGATCATATGATTTATATAGTCACGCAGCATGATTTTCGTATGTACTAACCCATATATAAAAAATAAAAATTTATTTTAAAATTATTTTTTTTTGTAAAATATGTATAAAAAGTTTTTTTTATTTTAATAAATTAATTTTAAACTATTTTTCCTTTATTATTTAATTAAAGTTCTTAAATAAAAAATAAAAAAATTTAAAATAGGTAAAATCAAACTTAAGAAACTTTACTTTTGTAAAAAATTTTAATAAGAAATATAAATTTTAAAAGAATTTTATACAAATTATATAATTTATATAATTTTTAAATTTTTAATATATATATTATTATATGAGTCGATTATGAAGTCTACTAGCTGAAAAATAGACTTTAACATATATAGCAAGGTTTTAGATATCTAAAGATAATAATTTAACTTAATAACTTTAAAAACTTGTTCATGTTAATAAAACTATTGAATTAACAGTATATCAATTTATAAGTACAGGAAATGTTGAGAATATATAAATATAAATTAAGAATACATATGAATAATTTGAATACAATGAAAAAGCAATAATAATAAATTGGATTTTAGGTCATGAGTTTAACAGATCAATATTATAAGGATAATGTTTGGTTTATTAATAAAATATAAGTGGATTAATACAATACAACAAACTAAATAAATTCTTGTTCATGAATTTATCAGAATATGAATTTTACAATTAATTTTCTAATTAAATTTGACTAAAATTAAACTGAACTCAAATCTAAATTGAACATCTTCTTTACTACAGCAATTTCCTATCCTATTTATATAAAATATTTAATTTACTTCTATTATTAATTTAAGATAAAATAAAACTATTAAAACTAAAGAAACATTATAAATCTCATTAACTTAGTTAATTACATTAATTAATTTAACTAAATAAATATAAGAAACTAATTAAACTTAAATAACTATATAAACTTAGTTTACAAAGTTATCATTGTTTTTGAGGTTTCAGTCATTTTGATTGTTGGGTTGTGGCTTAAGAAATTACGACTTTCTTTAGTAATAATCTGCAAAATTATAATAGCAATCACTTCTTTTGAATTATCTCAGCTCCTATTAATCCAATATTCTTATATTTATATTTGTTAGAAAGCTCTTAATGAGACGGTTGTAATGATTATATTTTCATCAAAATATAATTATTAAGTCGAAAGTTATTTCATTTAACAATATTAATTAAAAAATTTTATTTATTTAAAAAATAAGAAATACTTTAATTAATAAATTAAAAAATTATTTAGATTAATTACTATAAAATTATTTATAATTAGTTATACTTAGTGATACCTGACGAAATTACCTTTCTTAATATGACGAAATTGACAAAACTGAAATGATAAAACTAGTTTTTTATTAATAACGAAATTATTTTACTTAATTGCCGAAATTATATTACACTTGATCTAAATTTCTTGAATTAAAATACATTAAAAAATATAATAATTTTATATTTTTTCATATAAAAATATTAAAGAGACGAAACTTTTGATGAAATTACAATTTTTCAAAAAAGAGTTTAGTCAGGTATCACTAGTTATACTAGATATTGAAACTAAAGTTATTAGCTGAATTAATTAAGTAAAATAAAGTCAACTTCAGAATTTTTAATGATTAAACTATAACTGAGTAGCTAGATATAAGGTCAAAATATTGTGAAATATTTAATTAAATAAAACTTCAAATTTTTAGTCAAATAAAATTTTTATAAAAACTATTTATAATGAAGTTTATAATTACAATATTAATTAAATTTTAAAAATTTTTGTTAAATATTAATATATTAATAATACAATTATAGTTACTAATTTCAAATGAAAATCTTGATTCAGTTGATAACTGAGTCTACTGAAAAATGTCTAATAACTGATTAAGTTAACTTCAGAATTTGTCATGATTAATATTATATAATTAAATTTATTTATTTAATAACAAATAAATTAATTGATTCTATTATAAATATTATTTTTTCATTTATCTTATACAGTCGACCCCTCTATAGTCACCTCTTATATAATCACTCCCCTTCTTTAGTCACATTATAGTTCAGTTCTGATTTTTTAAATAAGAAAATACCCCTTTTATAA